AAACTAAGAGGATTTTTTTTTGTTTTTTTTTTTTTTAACCCTTAGGAAGCACGACCATCTCAATTGCTTCATCCACCCGCAACACCTCGACTTTTTATCACCCACGCCGTCAAACTCAGCGCTGTTAAAGCAGCCTAACAATTTCAGGTTCAAGAAAAATGTTTTGAGATTGCAAATAAGGGGAAAATGGCATGTTGTGTTTGCTGAAACTGTAACCCTAGTTTCAGATGAAAATTCAATCAAAGATAAATCATGTGGGGCTGAAACCAATGGTGCTGTCAAATACTTGCCTATGCTAGTGCTAACCATTTCTAGTCTTTTTTTCTTTTGTTTTGGGTTCTTGAGTCAATTCTAATGTGGTTGATTAGGGTTTAAGGTTTTTTTTGTTTTTGTTTTTTTTTTTTTTTACCTAATCAAATGGTAGCTTAATAAATAAGATGGTTCTGGAATTTTGTATTAATCGAATCAAAGAAGCATGTACTGGAATTTGCTGAAATTTTCTCTCCGCCTCATTCTCGCGTTCTTGGTCAGTTCCTCGCTTGGTTTCATGTCAAATTGATTTTTTTTTTCTTCCAATTTTATTGTATTAGTTGCTTCTTATTCATTAATATTATTGTTTTTTATTAGTTATAATCCACATCATCATACAAGTCTTAATAGCCTCTACATCACTATTAATCAAGACCGTCGGATATTATAAAACCTAATGGCTAAAAACAAGTGTAAAAATATTTTTCCCTTGATCCTATCCCAATTAAAATATATAACATATAAGATATACAAATAAAAATGCAAAATTATACATATAATTTTAGATGTGGGGTTTATTTTTAAAGATCTTTAAATTTTAACGGACCAAATTATATTTCCTCCTAATTTTAATCAGATAACAACTTACATGACATGAACAAATAGATAGTCAAATCCATTTTGATAAGCCATTTAAACAAAAACTCGTTCCAATGACGTAAGTTGCGGCCAATATTAATAGGATGTATATATTTTTATATTTAAAATAAAAAGTTATATATATTTCGGTTAGGTTCGGTCTTACCGAACAAACCGATATTGCATACCGATTCGGTACCTAAATTTTTGGTTTCGGGTACAAAAAATTTCGGTGTTCTGGGTTCGGTACAGCTTCGGTCAGTTTCGGTTTTTTTGGGTATTTTCTCCACCCCTGAGCCTATCTGCCGAGCTTTACCAGAAAGACATCCATTTGTCATGGAGCTCATACATGTATTTAGATGTTTGCTGTGTTTTTCAAATAATTAGTTAAAAAGTTCCAATCTTTTCCTTACCGGCGTCAATGAAACTCGAAATAATTCGTGGGTTTCTTTTTTGGGTTTGTTTCTTCATTGATTCTTATTTGTGGGGTTTTTATTTGAAAATCAAAACAATTTTTGGGTCTTTTGCTTTGTCTCTGAAAAAAAAAAAGTGAAACTTTGCATCAAATTAAAATATACATACTTTTATGTTCTTGTCAAAAAACAGAGAAAATATGATAAAGCCTTGAGCTGTAAAGAATATAATTTAAATGAGAACCGACAAGATTGTCAAGAAAATAATACTATCTTAATATAGAGAATTATTATTGGTATTAAAAAAAAAAATTTGTGCATTTCAAATTTTTTACATTCGAAAAAAAAAAAAAAAAAAAAAATCTTTGTGAAAAGTGTACAATAAGATTTTAATATATTGTTCGACTTAAAAAACATGTAGGTCTGTTTAGGATTGAAAATATGCGGAAGATAATGATTTTTTCACATTCGACATTTATTTATTTGTTCTTAAATTCTATTTATTTATTCAATTCTAAGACCAGAAAAAGAAAAATGAATGCATGAAGAGAAAAGATGGCAAAAATATTTCCCCAATAAGTAAATAGTTGGAGGAAATTAATATATAGACTTGATATGTAGAATCCGATGAGAGAAACCGCTTCGTTGCCATGTTTTATGCTTGGCTGCGGGTCTGTCAAGCACTAACTTAACAAAACTGGAAGAGGAGAGAGAGAGAGAGAGAGAGAGAGAGGAGGGAGAAGGAAAAAGAGAGAGATGACTACTAAGCCAAAGAAGAAAGGTCAAGAAAATGATGCCAGAGATTTGACACTAGCCACCAACTCTCATTATACATTGAATTTGATGTTTTCTTTGGCCTCCAATTACACTGGCTATTAACCACCATAGGAGTTCTTCTCCTTTCTAACATAATTAGGGGAATATGTTTTTTTTTTTTTTTGTGAAGTTATATCTTTTGTAGTTTTTATGAGGATATAATATCCAAGATCTAAGGATTTTTTTATATTCTTGTGAAATTAGGTAAATTGGAAATTGTAACATCTCACATCGTTCAGGGGAGTGAATCTTGTAAGCCTTATATGTATATTCTCATCTCTACCTAGTACGAGATCTTTTGGGAGCTCATTGGCTTCGGATTCTATCAGAACTCTGAAGTTAAGCGAGTTCGCATGAGAGCAATCACATGATGGGTGACCCACTGAGAAGTTCTCATGTGATTTCTCATAAATAAAACCGTGAGGGTGTGATAGGGATCCAAAGCAAACAATATCGTGCTACGGTGGAATCAAGTCCGGAATGTCGCAGGTGACTTTACCATATATTATCAGTTGACCTGGAATTTGTATGTCTAATTCCTTTTATTTTTGTTGGAGAGTATGTCATTACAAATTACAGTCTGGAAAGTTTATCCCCATTTAATTTGACTGGCTTAAAAAGTGTTATTGTCAAAATAACAACAAATGGGAAATCATTAGCATGCATTTTGTAGTCAAATAATACATAATTTCACCTAGTCTAAACCCTAATAACATTAATTAGTGACTGTTTGAGAAGGGTAAGTTGGTAACAAACCCCTTTCTAAGGAGGGAGACTAGAAGTCACAAAAGCATATTAAAGAAAGGATAATCATGCTTCATGCGCATCATAGAAAATTAGAAATGTAATATTATCTTATTACCAGTTTGATTTGCTATCAAGCAATCACATGAATCATCATGTTCGTGCTTTGCCTTTTTTTTTTTATTCCACCACGGCCGAGGGGGACTACAACTCTCAAGAGCATGTTAAAGAAAGGATAATCAAGCAATCACGTATATAGCTAGCTGCTGCATGGCCGCCGGAACTGGCAGTAAAAACTCTAATATCCTCTAGGATGCAGGGCAGCCCTAAATTAGGCCGCCCTATGCAATGCATATTCCTGGGATAAGATTTATTCTCAACAAGGTCTCTTATGTAGATGAATTTTTAAGTCTAACATGTGAACAATGCAAATAGAGTGACGTGGAGCATGTGTGAACGTTAAATTTCACACGTGGGACAATTTGCTTTGGTACCATGAAGAAAATTGAGATTATACCATAAAACCGGCCAATTGAAAATATGAAAAGTAGCCCAACTTATTTATAAGTCCATACAACACCTCTTATTCTATCAACGTGAGATTCATTCTTAACATAAATAAGAGTCACCAATGTCATCAAATTTTTCTTTTTCTTTTTGGTCTGAATCAATGTCATCAAATTGGTTTCCTTTTTGTCTTGCACTCTTCTCCTCTTGTGGGTCATTTGGTCACCTACCAAAAACGACCATGTCCACCTAGTTTCAAATCTTTACTAACGTACGGTTTGTCATTTTCCTTACAGAACATTGCTAGCTAAGCTAGGTGATACAAATGTAGTTTTTTTCCGTGTCTCGTGTAAAACCTAAAGGCTGACTTTTATTGATGGAACTGGAAGTTAAGTTACAATATGCCAAAATAAGAAGAATGACTTTTATGGAAAAGAGTATATAATTATTTTGACATTTCGTGTTAATATATGTGTAAGCTTTTTTTCACACAACGTTATATCATGGCACAAAATATCACATATATCCATAAAATATAAGAAAATTAATAAAAATGGTTTGAAAATTTAGAGTTTTTATGAAAATGACAAAATAAAGGATAAAGTGAATAGTACTAGAAATAATTTTTTAATGTAAAAATGTAATTTTTCCTTAAAATGAACAGTACCAGAAATTTTTCATTAAAATTTCCTAAAATATAAGTGAAAGAGTGAGAAAAAAGCTACCAATTCAAGTGGCGGCGAAATAAACAAAAACTGTAGGCGGGGAGGTCAATTAGAAATATGTTAATATATACGTGTGCATTTTGTATGCCCCAGAGCCAGAGTACTTGACGGTGAGGATCTTATTAGAATTGTAGTTCCAAGAAAAAGCAGCAATCCTGAAGACCATACAAATAAAGTTGATTCTAGACTCAGAAAGACAAGCAGAAAATCCTTGCTTCCATTCTGGCACACTCATTTTCCACAAATTTTCTATTCAAGCACACTTCTTTTTCCAGACCCCTTTTAAATTCCACTTGCCCCCTTCCGGTAACCATGCTTGTCCTCTTTTCATCACTTCACAATTAATCAATTTAGTCTCATTTACCCTCTTGTTGAGAAAATTTTGTGTATCGGGAACACTTAATATGTGAAAGTACAATTCTACATATTATTATATGGTTAGAAGACGATTGATATGGTTTTTTTTTTTTTTTTCTAGTATTCATTACTAAAAAAATATACATATTATAATTTGAATAGAATAATAACAATATATAACAGTGTTCCAAACACACTAAAAATTTCTCAAAAACTTATCTCCCTAAAAAGTTGTTACTATTACTATATAAGTATAATATTAATGGGGGAATAATTGTTTATGATATATATATACACACACACATAGAGATTGCTTAAGGGGAGGGATCCCCATTAAAAAAAAAAAATGGGGATACGCTCCCCACCGTTAGATTGGTTTTAATGAAATTATATGGTTGAAATTAAAACACAGGCCACACAATTTCATTAAAGTTAAATCCAACGGTGAAGAGCGTGTCCCCATTTTTTTAGAAAAATGGGGATCCCTCCCCTTAAGCAATCTGTGTGTGTATATATATATATATATATCAAGGTAGCTATCTTAGCTCAATTAATTAGGTTCCAAGAAGAAAGTAAAGATGGGGAGAGCTCCTTGCTGTGACAAAGCCAACGTGAAGAGAGGTCCATGGTCACCTGAAGAAGATGCCAAGCTCAAGTCTTACATCGAGCAACATGGCACCGGCGGTAACTGGATCGCTTTGCCGCAAAAGATCGGTATGCATACCTTCTTCTTCCTCTTCCTCAAATTAGTTAGTGTCCTGGTTACTATATATCAAATTAATTAATTAGAAGTTACCGGCTGTATTAATTAGATGAAATTAGGTTTTTGCCAACTAAATTCTCTGATGGATAATTAGGGCTTAAGAGGTGTGGGAAGAGCTGCCGGCTTAGATGGTTAAATTATCTCCGCCCAAACATCAGGCATGGAGGGTTTTCTGAAGAAGAAGACAACATAATTTGCAGCCTCTACATAAGTATTGGAAGCAGGTAGGCACATATATGAATTTAGTATTGAATCTCACTTTTACATAAAAAAATACACATCTTATAAATATCACAATATCAATTACATATCGACATGTAAATTAGTGCAATTTATTTCCTAGCTAGGGTAATCAATTTTGTGATTAATTTCACAACTATGGATGATGTATGTATGTGTATATGTAGGTGGTCTATAATTGCAGCCCAAATGCCAGGAAGAACTGACAATGATATAAAGAACTACTGGAACACAAGGCTTAAGAAAAAGCTTCTTGGTAGGCAGCGCAAAGAACATCAGCTGGCTCGTAAATCAGGCCTAGTTAAACAAGACACCATCAAAAGATCAGGCGGTGTTGGTGGAAACAGTACTAACTCCCATTCTGCCGTTCCAGCCACCGACGATCAAAACCCTTACTGGCCTGAGCTTCCAGTGCCTGCAGTACCCACAGTACTTCCACAACAACAACAGCAGCCTTGTTTTAATGACCATGCTTCTCTCAGAAAGTTGCTCATCAAGCTTGGAGGGAGGTTTGGTTCAGATGTTAATCATAATCATGAGACTAATCAAGTTATCCAAGGTAGGCCCGCCAATATTCAACCAACCTATCAAGTTCTTGACGATGATAATTACAGTCCATACGCCGCTGCTGCTGCTACTACTCAGCAAATGGATGAGCACTATTCTGGTAAGAACATGCAAAGTCTCTTTATTCCTCGATGTGGGATCCATGCTCTCAACGATTCTTCTCCTTCCTTAAGCAATGATGTTATCAGCCCTCATCAATTTGCACAAACACATTACATAGTGAATACAGATAACATTGATGGACCTGGTAATGGTATAATGAACAACATGTTTCAAGGGCAAGGTGGTAATTATGAGACTGATCAGCTGAAGGAGATGGTGGTGTATAACAACAATGACAACCAACACAGATTTGATGGGTTGGAGTTCTTCTGTGGGGAAGAGATGATGGTTAATAATAGAATTACCAGTAGTTATGGAGAAAGTATTGGGTGGGGTGAGATGCTGGGATGTCCTCCTGTGGCCTCCTCCTCAGACGACTATCATGACAGCATGGACCGATTGATCATGCCGGCCACACCCGGCCAAGAACGTGGTTTCGCCAACGACCAGTTGATGAGTGGTTACCCTGGGGAGGCATTATAAAGTGATGATCATTGTGTACATTCAATTAATGTAATGTTAAAATTTGGTAGCAATAGGGGGACGTGGTATTGTTTTGCGCCAAAGAGGGAAACCCTAATAATAAACTCATTAGATGATATGTTTTTTTTCTTCTATGATTTTCCTGTTAATTTTTGGACTGAATTTCTTCATTAAGGTGGAATTAGCAGGATCTGAAGCCCTATATATAGCAATACTAGCTACTTGGTTCAAATTTGATTCGTTGAGTACTGTGAAGCTTTTTTTTTCTCTGACTGAAAGAACATGCATGTTTCAGTGTGTTGTTCCTGTTGATTTTAGATGGTGGAGATTAGCATTTCTTCAAGAAATTTACGAATTGGGAAAAAGGGTATGTATTATTTTCCCAGCGTGGTCATTAATATTTCATATTTGTATATATGGGTGACAATGCATGTTCACTGGAAACCCAGATAAAAACAATTTCTTGGAACACGTTTCATGAGTTAGCTTTCCAGGATTAAGAAATCAAGATAGTAATTCTCGAAATTTAATGTCTTCAGCCCAGGAAGAGAGAGAGAGATGAAACTTAAAATTGTGAAAATCAACCAGTTCTGAATGACACACATGCTTTGTAATACGTGTCTTTCAGACTGTCGTACCTCTATTTTTTCGACAAACTTTCAGACCTTTAACTTATAAATTTTTGTTTGATTTAAACTTTTAAACTGTGCCCACTTAGTATTACAAATTAGAATGCACATTTGAATTAAATTATTATGCTAGTTTGTTGTGAAGCTTAATTACTTTTTCACTTTTACTGATGTAGATAATATCATATGTATTAAAAAAACTTTTAAACTGTCAGCTTTATTCTTATATTTTATATAACAACTTCTAATTTTCAAGTATTAGATCTGTTAAAAAAGTTTGATGATTAACACTCAAAAGGTATGGTGCTTTTAGTAAGATTATCATGCACGTATGAATCCTCTCTCTCCCTCGATCTGAACGCATAAAGCATTTGTTTTAAATTTTGATCCAGATGATGATTCACAGAATACAGATGTGTGAACATACATCTGTATATATAAATTGCATATTCTGGTTTGGGAAAAATATATACAGAGATATGCATGATTCCCCCTCTATATAAGTGCATGCAATACTCAGCCATAACTAGATACACAAAATGAAAATGTACATAAATATAGCCAACAATGTTGACTGAGACAATTCATTATCTTCTTCCAAAAAGTACAGAAAAACAATTCATCTGCTGCTTACATATGAATATATACATCCATAGATAGCTTGGGCAAAGTTATTGTTATGCTGCTAGCTAGGCAAAGCAATGCCGTTGGTTTTTTTAATAACCTTTTACTGTGACTATACTATCCGGTGATGAGAGTGGGTAGGGTATTGAGTAGGAGACTACGAGTAGACTAGAGATACAGGCTTCGAAACCCCCTGTGTAAACAAAAACTTCCACGGAAATTGCAGAAAACAAGGGAAACTTCTGAGTAAGCTTTAAATTCCACACAATCTGATATATGTGCATATTTATATGTGAGTTACATATAAAAGAGGATGAAATAACAAAGGCTCATGTATGACATTGGTCTTTTTGAGTACTTTAAATTTTGAAATGCCATGTGTCGGTAAGCTGTTGATATCGATTGTTACCTAACAAGCTCCAATGATATATGGTATGCAATAACTATCAATTCATCGGTCGAAACAGTCAATATCAGTAACGGTAATTTCTTCTAGATCAACACAGCAGCTGGCAGATGTTAATTAAATGAATAAGTTGCTTAATTTTGGTCTTCGTCAATTAGCTTATTGTTTAACTACGACATTGATTTATTAATTAGCTTATTCATACAAAATTTAGAGTCAGATTAATTTGATGATCATTTATACAAATTCTAGGTAGCTAGATATCATGAATAACATGTAATTTATCAGTCTTCTTCCCGTAATAAGACTCAAACCTAGGGTAGGGTTCTTTTGCATAATCATATAAAATTAATTATTATTCATCGATGGATCTTATTTCAAAAATTAGAATATTTAAGTCTCTTTTTTATTACAAGTGAGAGTTTTAATCTAAACCACACTATAAGGAGATGAGGGAGGATTCGAACTGGGTGCACTGAAAATAATACAAAAACCCTAACCACTAAGGCAATCGACTACATGCTTAGAGTCCTTAAATCTAACACAACATCTATCTAGCTATGCCTAACATAATTGAAATAGCCTTTACTTAGGGTAATGTTAGGGAGACCAAAACTTCTAAACCAAACTTGTAATTAAATCAAAATGATGTGGTCGTTGATCATTGGATTATTACTTAAATACTGATTAATGTGTTTATTTCCTATTGGTGACACATTATTTGGTTTGAAAATTTGGTTTAAAAATATGATCTCCCTAACCTTATTCATTTACTTATGTAGTCAGCTTATATGTAGCTATGGCCAGAAAGGTCAAATAAATAGTCAGCTTATATGTAGCTCTGGCTAGGTGGATCAAATAATTACGTTCTCACATATATAGACTCAAATTATCTCTTAGGTCTTGGCTGAAAGCTACAAGGGGCAAAAGTCGATTGCAGTTGTAAATTGCAATCTTTGGATTAAAATATGTACTTTCTGTTGACATGCAAATTTTGCAATTAATGTTTGGTAAGCCATGTTCACGATTTGTTAGAATCGGTTGACATATTTTGAAATTGGTGGTAGCTGCCTCTACAAGCTAGCGATTTAAAATAGTTGGCTCCATTATCTTGACCAACTCTTAAATTCAAAGTTTTCAAAAAAAGTTCTTAATTAAGTTGATTCCACTAGCATTTTCATCTAGTTGCTTAATTATCATGAGCTCAATCATGAAAACTAGGTCAATATTTGAAAGGACATATATCCCACCCAGGTATGCTAAGGAAGCCAAATTTTAAGACCAAATTTGTTAGACTATATGAAGTGGTTATTGATGATTGGATTATTACATAAGTAGTGATGCTTATTTTCTATTAGTCACATATCATATGATTTGTAAATTTAGTCTAAAAATTTGGTTTACCTCACATTACCCATCCAAAAAATTATGGTTTTAAAAGGTAACCAATTCATGCATTTATATAATAGGAGTCTTACATCATAAAGTATAAAGTAAACAATGGCGGATTACGAGACTTCCTCAAAACTAAAAACTGGAGGTCCTTGGGTTCGAAACTCATTGCTAGTGTGGAAGCCAAACCGTTGCTTGCCACCAGTTATCTCTCTTTAAAAAAAAAAAAAAACAATTCGCTCAACTCATATTATAACATATAGATAAATTATACTATACAATTGTGTTTCAGTACCATATAATAATATTTTTTATAAAAAAAATTAAATGTAAAATAATGAGCGATTAATTAGTTAATTTTTTTAGAATATTGTAAGCTCATAAGTGGGATATCTAGGTAAAACATATCCCATAAGATTTACAGTCTGTCTGGCTTTCAGTATAGTATACTGGAATTATAAGCATACATAAAGCGGACATACACAAACTCCAGCAAGCAAATTAAGGAGACATAAACAGTTCTGAGGGCTTATACAATTTTAAAACAATCCCTAATTATTCATCTAATTTCTTTCTGTAAAGTTAACGGGAATATCCCAAACAAAGAAGAAACAGAACAGAAAAGTCCTCAAAGAAAAACCAACATCTCAAAATTTGACTTCTTGTGGATTGCCTTATAAATTCCCGTCAACTTGGTGACGATAATAAACACCACAAAATTAATTAAACATGTTATATTACGAATATGTGAAAGAAGCATAGAAGTGACAATAGCAAAAGGACGACTTGTGTCACTGCCTTTTAATTGTTTAATCAACTAAATGAACCCTAATCAACCCCCCACTGGATATTTAAATCTAAACATTGATCCTTAATTCATAATTAATAATCTGCAAGAGATATTATAATTTATTAATTTTGAATATTATAGAATGATAATGACACTCACTAACATGAAAATTCTTGCATGTTTGTCGTGCTGTTCAGCTGTTGGACCAAAATACAGTGGGTTTGTATAAAAAAAAGAAGGGAAATACTAAGAATTCTCTTAAAAGTGGCATTGTTCTTTTTCATAAACTCTCAGTCACTTCATATTTTTAGCACAATCTTTTATATAATGTTAATACAATAATTGACGTTAAACTGTAGAGTTGCAGAAAGTTCATAGAAAGTTTCACTTTAAAAGAGTTCCCTTAGCATTTCTGTGAAGAAGAAAAAGAAATTTATTAGAGAATTATATAGGCTAAAACGACTGCAGAGCTAGAGTACTGCAGCCTGGATGTTATATTCAAAATTACATACCATTTACGAGGTGAAGGATTTAGAATTAAGATAGAGCGGCCTAGGGTTGTGTTAATTTGATTGCTTTAGGGTTTCAAAATGGTATAAGGAGAGGATATGATAGTTCTTATAATATACAATTCACCTGTCCGCCTAGGGTTTTGTTTATTATTTTTGCTTTTGGATTTTGGCCTTGGCTAATGCTTATGCGTTTGATGACAGTTTTTTTTTAATTTTAATTTTAATTTTAATTTTTTTAGGGATTAATTGGTGTCTTCATCACATCAATCTTTCTGTCGAAAAGGCTCATAGAGGCATTTTAGCCTCCTCTGTGTCATCATGGTGTGATTCTACAACGTCAGGAATCGAACCTAGGATGTGTCATGTGAAATATTAACTTATAATTCGTTTCCCACAATGAACCACCTCTTAATAGTTGTGTTTTATGGCAGTTAAGGATTATCTCTCCTCCTATTACCATCCCCTCCTCTCACACTCTTCTTTTTATCTTATTCTTTATATAAAAAATTCAAAACAAGATGTAGACGCGGTATAATCACAACCGTTTAAATAGGAAAGGATGAAAGAAGAAAGAGATTAGGAAGGGAGAAAATCTTACTCCAATGTTGAAATATGATGTTAGGTTATATATCTTTTATCCACTTCCATACGCAAGAACAAAAAACAGAGGATCCTCATTAAAAATAACACATGCCTATTGAAGATCTATTCGTCCAATAACATATTATTTAGTGCACTAATTTGATGTCCCTAATATTACTCTTAATATTTCGTATAATTTTATTTGTCTTTCAATTGTACACACACAAAATTGATTTTTACTAGTAACGGTCGTCTCCCCTTGTATATCGTTGATCTCTATTATTGAGTTGGCTTTAAGAATTTTGGGGCACTCCAAAAAAGTTATTATGCAATTTTATTTTTAAAAAGTTAGCTTAATAATTTTTTTTGCATATTTAGATACAAATATACATTTATAAAGAGTGCATAATAATTTTTTTGAAGTACCAATATTCCCGTTCTAATATAATTTTACGTGAATTTTAGAATTTTATAAGCCAATTACATAGAGCCCATGGAGGCTAGGGGGCCGTGGCAATCTCTAGTCTACATGTAGCAATCTTTGGGTTTGCTTTTAATAATATCAGGAGAAGCACGTAGCATATGCTTCTTCAAAAAACACTTTGAAGCTTTCGTAAAAAAGTTTCAAACATTTTTCGAATAAAAACTTCTAACAAAAGCGTTTATAGACAAAATTGTTTTCCACCTAAAACAATCTCGATCAAATGACCATTAAGTACACTCTTACGTTAAGCCCACGAATGAAAAAAATTATAAGTTTGTGGACTGTGTGACTCAGAATAAGGCCCAAAAAATATTTTCGATACGGCCCAGTATATTTGTATTGAGTCCAATTAGGTTAAGAACATTGGGAAATTGGAATCCCCAAATTTGTCATCAGCTGGTAAACCCTAGAAAATGAGGAGAAAACTAAGGTGATAAAACAGGACCAACCAGACACCATCAATGGCGATTCCGGCGTCCATTCTGTCGCCGCCGTCCGCAACCCCCAAATTTTCGGTACCACTCTCTCACTCTCCCAAATTCCCAATTACTTAAAAATGTGAAATTTACAGGTTTTCGATGAATTAATTATGATTGATTCCAATTTTCCTTCTTCATTTCAGATTGATCTCTTTAAGCAGAAACAATTTCGATTTCAAACCAGCTTCCCGCGTGTAAAAGCAGTTTCATCCACGGCACAATTTGGAGAACCCAACAAAGAAAATAAGCAGAAGCTGCAAATCAAAAGCACTTTTGTGAAGGAGAAGCTGTGGGAAGCCGTACCTGCCCCAGTGAAGGAGCTCCCATGGAGAAAAGCAGCAGATACAGCACTGGAGCAACTGCTTCTGCTTGGGAAAAAAGCACTCATATGGTCATTTGTTACTTTTGGCACCCTCAGCTTCTTATCAGACATCATATTTTCCATCTCCAGAAACTATGAATTGGTGATTCCATTTGGTCTGTTTGTTGGGTGCTTCTTGACTGATGTTTTGAAGGAGACATTGCAGCAAGTGCTTCCCAGGTCGGAGGAGAATGCCAATGAGATTGAAAAGCACTTATTTGGTATAAGCTGCTTTTTTACTGCTGTTAAGTTTGTCTCTGCTGGTCTCCCAATGCAGGCAAGAGTGTTTCTTCTGCACGTTGCAAATGGCGGGTTCCTGCAAGTTTTGTGGTTGTGGAGAGGTTTCTTCAACGAAAAAGACGAAGATGATGGTGTCGATAATTCCAATTCTTCATTGGTCATGGATGTGAAATCTTAACACGACTCGGTGTCTGTTTAGCGTTTTGCGTTTTTCAGTTACGTTTTTTGTTAAACGTTTGTAACCAGTTCTATTTGTGCATACTTCACCAGTTTTGATCTGCGTCGTTTGCAGAAACTGATCCGTTTTCGTGGTTGTATGAGTTGAGTATCTATGCAATTCAAAATGTGCTTAGAGAATGAAATAATCGGACTTTGCATTAACATTACGTATAACTTTTCAACTGTTTTCGATACATTTAGTTTAAGATAACGAACAATATACACAACAATTTGCTTTGCTCAAATAACAAGTGTACAAAAAATAGAGTTGCTTTCTTTGGGAATTTTCCCCACTCAAAACTGTAAAATTAAAGATAGCCTATGGATGTTTACTTGTATGTGTCTGTACGCTTCCGATGTATATCTGGCCAAAAAGAGAACCTGCTTCTTAAGATGCAAGAATCTCGTTCCAGCCGGCTCCATAAACGTGAACTTGCATAAAAAAACAAGTCAATTACGTCCCAGAAGAACGCTCATTTTAGATCTGCCTCACCGTCGAAGGTGACATTCCATGACGGATTAGTTTGGCCGGGTTCCTCCCCTGAAAAGAGAAAAGCACAAAGAACCAAGCGATTACATCACTGATGCCGCGTACAGGAACCCTCGCGAGTACTGGATGAATCAAACCTGGTGGCTTGACATTCTCTGGATCCGGATTTATGTCACCCTCAATGCGAGTTGAGCATCCAAAACTGCACGAGACATCAGGAGTTAATGGGGACTGGCAGTAAGCTGTATGCAGCTGTTGATAAACCTCTTCCATCCTCCCCGCTTCCTCATCCTTCTGGTCCATATCAATAAGAATCTGCAAACAATCCCCTCATCAAGTTTTGGAGATAGAGAGGCATGGTCTCAAATACCACATACATGCACATGCACGTGCACGCACGCAAATACAGTTCATTTTCAATCAATACCTCTGCAACTTGGTTCTTGAACAATGGATGAAACTGCTGTCGACAGTACTCGTTAAACAAAATAGTGAAGATAAGCAGTGGAATAGTGAAACCTGATGCAATTGGTGATTTTCTTAATCCAAAGACACCGAGGGCAATTATTTGCATGATAACCAATGAAATTATGACTGTATTGTGAATCATAGGCCAGTACTGTCCCCCACTTTCGTATTCTGCTATATACACATTAAGAATCTGAAATAGGCATTGTAAAATTTAGCAACAAATTAATTATTCGAATGCCCCCCAAAGAAAAAAAGAAAAAGAAAAAGAGAATAATGATGGCCAGAATGAGAGAGGAACTTACCTACACCGGGGATGCTACAGTGGCATCCCCGTTGCAGGGTAGTTCTTCTCCCTCAAAGAGACCTAACAGAATAAGGAACAATAGATAGGAGGAGTCCTCACCTGGTTTCGATATATAAAGTAAGCAAGTACAAAGTACACCAACAAGAATGGCAATATTAGGGGAACCAAGATAGAACAGGTGAAGCCGATGAACCCAAACAGCAGGACTCTAGGAATTTCTGTATGATATGGAAATGACAGTGAGTCATTATACCGTCCTTTCCGTAATATGAACCGTCGGAAATAGTTGCAAAGAAGAGGATAAATTTGCATGAGTTCACATGCCAAGCTTGCCCAACCAGATGATAAAACATAAGTCATGAAGAACTTAGCCTGAAAATTCAAGACCACAACCATTAATAAAAATCAATAATAAAGCTTTCAGCTTTCATAAGCATCACATTACTGATGTAATGTCTCGAAAGTCGAAACAATTATCACTTACAAAACTCTCAGTCACTATGTTAACCATTATGACCATCTGGAATTCAAACTAAAAATGAGTAGACAATTTCTAATGGACAATTTAATATCTATGAGTACTAGTAGTGGACTCGAACCATCTCAATTACAAAGTAACCCGTTTCAAACATGACAAGGAAAAACAGTGGTCACACCTAAGTGATGTAACAGTCCAAATAGACTAGCATAACTGGAACACAACTATTGATCTTCTAAACATATTTAAAGATCAAGGGCATATCACCTGTGCTGGAATCGCGTTGGCAAGTTGCGCAGGTATGTCTTTCACACTAGAAAATACACTCAATTGGCTGATAACAGAGCCGGTAAAAACATTAACAAAAAAGACATTCCAGATTGTGAAGTATAAGACTTTGAAGCATGCACTCTTTTTCCTCTGACTGCGAGAGATCCACCCCTCCACTGTTGAAAACAGCATCATGACAGGTGGAACGATGTAAAAGCCACAATTAAAACCACACTTGGCAGGTACCCCGTTATCACCTGGCTTACATAGTTCCTGCATATGCGCATAAGTAATCATGAAAATGAGTCAAAGCCATTGCAAAACTTTATCCCCGTACACACAGAAAGTCCATGTTTAGTATCCATCATACACAGCATAACAAAAAAATTAAGGTAACAAGGAGAATGTGTCTGTCAATTGACTTACTTTTTGAGCAATCCTTTCAAAGCTGGAAACTTTTTTTCCAGGCTTTTTAGTGCAGTCATGCCCTGAACAAATGTGACAGGAATAAGAAACACAAGCATAAAGGCAATAGTAGCCAGAAGTGTGGCTAACTTCCGGATCCACAGTTGTCCGTACGGTATCCAAAGGTTTGACCAATACACATCATTTGGTTCCGGAGCCATATCTGTCACCCAATGCATAGGATTTGAAGAATGAAGAACCTTTGATGTAACAAGAGCAGCACAGCGAGTCTTGAAAAAGACAAAAGCAGCAGCACACACCTGTATGTAAGACCAAATACATTTTAGGCTATAATATCGAAATTTACACAAAAGTTTAATCACTCATAGACAACAACTTATACCTAAATGATGGCAACAAAGTCAAAGTAACAGAACCACAATTCGAAAATGTCACTGATTACGGGAAGAGACTACTCAAGATTCATGTCTTTGACACTGCCATGTGGGATTTTTTTTTATGAGCTAGTACTCTGCAGATTGAGGTTCATAATTTCCTACACATAAATGGGCTGATTATGGGAAGAATGGATAGACATGTGTACTTGTGTGCATGTATGTTTTTATTTTAAAGTATACATATTAACTAACATAAATACATACATACACACAGATATAAATATTACTTAACCATTCAACAACTTTTATTTCTACTTTTCTTTTATTCGAACTATGGTAACTAAATAAGGAAACATCCAATATAAAACTGAAAAATGAAAAAAAAAAATTCCAAAATAAAAACTAAAGGAGCCTAAACAAGTTAATCAAGCCAAACAGAATTCTATTCCAAACATTTCAAGTCCAACTTTCTGCTTAAGGTGTTATAACCGCCATAATAATACGTGACCAACTGTCTAACAAAACCTGGAGGCAACTGAAGCAAGAATACATGACGATACTAGGAACACTTAGGTAAAATTTGGCTCAAAGGGGTTATGTGTAAGTGAGTTAAAACCTCAAGGGATATTAGTGTAATGTCTCAAACATGAGGGGGTTTTGTGAAAACTCGATAAACCTCAGGGGGTTTAATGTAAGTAACCCTTGCTTACAAAATTTTCAAGAATTCCATGGTCAGAAAACCATTCTATAAAAAAACAAATCAGATTCGAAAGATTAAAGCCATACACATCACTAGTTGTGTGTGAATACGTGATGAAAACCAGAGCTAATTAAATTAATTGGGGCCACAGCTTGCATGACCTTTTTTCTTCCACCCAAACTATTGTCGATAAGGGATGACTTCCCTTTAACACTCTCTGAATCGTTTGTGAGTATCTTAAAAGAATCAGTAGCTCCTCCAGACATACCACAATGAAATAGATCTGGTCTATGACTCTGTTCCACAGAAACATCCTTAAGAATCTTGCACATCTTCCCTGCATCGGTCTGCAAAGTTTGATATATCATAAAGTTGCATTAAAAAATATATGGGACATAATTGAACAGATGCATGTGAGTGGAGGAAAAACCCACTGATCCTATATTTAATTCTTAAAGAAACCCATCATATAGTTTATATAGCTATCTTAAACCACATATTAGTCTAAGTGCAGCTCATGCTAACAGTTATGACGATATAAGCCAATGATAAAACAATGTGATTGCTCAGGAAACAGCTGAAATAATTCAAGCCACATACATACCATCAGTTTCTGAACTTTACCAGATCGATACACCATTTGGTGTGACAAGTAGCTTGATGCATGATATTTTGTGAAGAATTTTCTTACTGAATCACTATATGATCCTTCTGGTGACCATGGAATAGCACGAACAACAATTGTAAAATGACTTGGATTTGAAGAAGATCCAATAATATATGCCAGCCTCAGTCTAGTGACGTGATTATATTCCTACAGAAGATCCACAACAAAAACACAAAACCAATGTTTAGGATGTTTATAGTTGTATGAACTAAAAGCAAAGATGAAGAACTTTTTACAATATATACGATCTTGTACAAGAGGAGATGGGTTTTAAATCCTTACAAAGTATAGGAGAATACAAGCTGAAGTAGTGATAATGTACAATGCGAGACAATGGGTCCAAAGCCTGACATGAATTAAAACAGAAAGCAAATGACCAGTTAGAAACTAGTTTCCTGGTGTATATAACGAGAAATAGTTAAATCAATATTGAAACTTCATAAAGATTGAGAAAAAACAGAAGAAAAGGCGGATTATCAGAACTTGCTCTGCACCTTCATAAAAGATAAGAATTTTTAAGAAAGTGTTTTAATAATCAAGGATATATGTCTCATACCACTTTGAACCTTCATGAACGTTCAAGATGGTAAAGACTTCCAAGGATTCATCATGGATTCCCGGGTGATCCTTCGTTTGCCCATGATAATTCACCGGAAGCACTATAAAGACGCAGATGACAGCAGCAATGGAAAAGATTCGAAGACTGTGAATGGACAAAATATTAGGCTACAGTATTAGGTAGAATTATTATTCTGCAGGCATAAACCATAAAGATCTAGGCAGGGTTTAATTACCTAAAAATAAGCATCCTGATAAAAACAACCGAATCCAAGCCACCGACTGTCAAAAAATCTTCTTCTTTTGTTCTCCATGCTTTCACTAGCCAACTAGCAGAAGGAACAAACCTTTCCAAATTGAAAAGATCACTTCTTCTTTTGGATATCGTAAGCATTCGTCCAAAGTAGACGTTCACATTGCTCGGTTGTTTCCTCAATATAGAATATAGCAAAAAGAGTACCACGCACACAGCTATATTAATACCAGCAGAAGTCAAAAGAGCTGCCAGATTCATCTCTACCCACTAAATCTACAACATTCAAAGTATCTCATCGCCCAAGAAAGCGAATGCAAGACATCGCAATTACACCACAAGCCGAATTCAGCTAGTAATCCGAAGTTCCGAACACACACAACTCAGCTGCTGCAATACTTATCCGTCGATTTGCCTACCAATTCGAAATTTCGACAACTCAGAAATAAAAAAGCAGAATCCATACGTCCTCATTCAATTATTGATATCCCAAATTCCAAAATTCAACTTCAATTCTCACTCTCACAAAACCAAAGCTATTCACATTGCTTCAACTCAAATTATTCGCAACAAATATATCAAAATTAATCACAAATAATCAGTAATTAACAATCAGATCAACGCTTCAGAGTCTAAGCAAATAGAAAACAAAGTAGAAATCAAATCAAAGAAATCAAAAACTGGAAAAAATCGAGTACCTGAATCAACAATTCGAGTAATTCGCAGAGAACCCCAAGTGAAGGAAGCGAATTAATTAACCGGAATTCCGAGGGCAGAGTGGGAATTAAGACTCGCACGCCATTAATTGCCGCGCTTTTGCTTCGACTTCACAAAAACTCCAACGGTAAAAAAAATATCCACGAACGAAAATTTACAAAAATAGAAGAGAAAGAAAAAAAAGAAGAAGAAGAAGAAAAAGAAAAACCTAGAAAAGAAACCCTGGATAATATTTCAGGCAATTTTCGATGATTGGGGGACATCCGGGGAGAAGAAAGAAAAGAGGTGAAAGCGCAAAAGAAGAACCAACTTTTTGCGGAATGCCACGTGCTGTCAGGTGTTTTTGTACTTTCACTCAAAAATACGCGGCGGCAACGGGTGGCACACGTGGTGGACTGCCACGAACACTCGACCATTGATTTTTCAGAATGATCGAATATGTAACGATGTTATACAAATTGTGAGATATATGTGTTAAAAAGTTAATAACTTAAAAAATAAAATTCTTCATCACTTCTATAAAAACACATGATATACCACTCGTGTTCCTGTCACAATGAAAATTTTCTCCACTAGGACAGTCCAAGCCTAACTGTCCAACAGGATCATATAAGGCATTTTCAATAGAGATAGCTAAAAGTCCAAAAGCTAAAAAATGGTTTGATTTGTCAGAAAAATCATCTTCAATTGATGATTGGTTTATAATTCTTTAGAGCCCATCGGTCATTTTTTGGCCAGGGCATCAATTTGGCCAAATGTAACCCTTCTTTCATCCCTTTTTATGGATACAATTGCTTAGTTGCAATAATTAATTAAAATTTAATGTCTAAATTTAAAAACATCCAACAATAATTTAAAAAGACTGCCTAGACAAAAATCCACCTACTAAAAAACATCCAAATAAAACCCAAATTACAAAAATATTTACAACTTGTGCCACAATATTCAAATCAAATCCATAAATGTTATTACTCACCTTAATTATAATGAACATTATTAGACATACTATTATATATATATACACACACACACACGTTCAAAGTATATTGTACTACTATAAGTTCAACGTATATACTTATATACATACATATATATATATATATATTATATTTCTTTATTTATATAATTTGATACACACATATGTAATAAAAAAAATTGCTTGTTGCATGTAAAAATTCATGCAAAATAATTTACCTACAAAAAAATAATGTTATTTGATTCAAATTGTGCACCTACTATTAAAATTTTAAAATGTTAGATTGCTTAAAAAAAAGCAACATAATTTACCCAATATATGTAAAATACATGTGAAAGTTTACCTACATAATAACGCAAATCCAATATATGAAAAATAATTTACCTACAAAATATAAGTTATTTGCTAATCATAAATTTACATATAGGTAAATTAATTAGTATAATATTTTTTATTGACCTTATTAAGCATGTATTATTACACGTATTAGGCATGTTTTTTTGTTATTATATATTAGGCAATGAATTTATACCTTTTTTTTTTTTTTTTTTTTGCAAAATCATTAATTCTCCCTTACAACCTGCATGGAATTAGTTGTGTACATCAAACATTAAAATAGGGGTAGTTTAGGCATTCAAAAACTTTTAAATGTGTAAGTCAAACATAATTAATGAATTTGCTAATGCAGAATCTAGGCCATGAGCTTTGTTTAAGTAAAAAACTTATGCCGGGTTTTATGTGAAGAAAATTAAGTTTCAAGGGCTAAAGATATATTTTCAGTTAAATTACCCAATAAATTTAAAATATAAAATTAAAATTATTAATTATCTAGAAAGTTATGTTTAACTTTTTTGGCTAAAAATAATATATATAAATATGGCATAATATTATTCATTTAAAAATAATTTTTTATAAAGGTATAATTCTCGACCATTTTGATCGGAGGTCGCCTAATTGCCCTGCCTTTTGGATTATTATTTAATTTGCTTTATCCTTTTTGCCGTTGGTGTTACGCTACGCCACGATTTATGGTACTTAGATGCGCTAGGGTATTCTGTCCCACGTGATTGGTTCGAGTTTCGTTATCTTGTACGCGGAAGCTGGCACCACACAACTTTTTTTCCCTCTCCACGGATTGCTGTGACTGGGCTCTCAAATATTGGATCAGGCCCAATAGGACTGGCCCATTGTTTTTACGAGGGGAAACTTGGGGCTCTTTTCGTAGCTCCATGGGATATAGAACAGCTTAAAAACCCTAACCCTTAATCCTGACCCTAACGGCCATGGAGGACTGGTTTTGCTTACCTGAAGATTATATTGTAACGAATATCCTCACCAGATTGCCCGTGAAATCTCTACTCCGATTCAAGTGCATCGTGAAAATGTGGCTTTCGATGATAAGATCATTGATCGACATAAACAGAAAAGGAAATTACGGGAAAGGGAAGAGTAGAAAAGGTAGAAGAAATTAAAGTAAATTCATATCATTTCATTTCATTTCTAGTCATTCAAAGATTGTTAGGATTTGACATGTAGATGGGTCTAATGGTATCACATATATAACAGACCTAATAGATAGCAATAACAGTAGCTAGTCCAATTGGTCTAACATAAGTCCAATAGCTTAGAGTCGCATCATTCGACATTATCCGATCAAGAATTCGCCAAACCCCAGTTCAAATTTACATCTGAGCATCAAACCCTAAGACCTCGACTCCTACAACACACACTCCTCCTCGGGATCCCAATCCATTGACTTGGATCCGCCCCCGCCGTCGCGGTTTGGAGATGTTTCTTCTGTCAGACACCTCACCGACCTAGACTCCTACAACACACACTCCTCCTCGGGATCCCAATCCATTGACTTGGATCCGCCCCCGCCGTTGCGGTTTGGAGATGTTTCTTCTGTCAGACACCTCACCTTCCCAGTAGAACTCCAGCAACATCCTGTCAGACTACTAGCGGCGTGCAATGGTTTGGTGTGTTTATGTTGGTATTCACCGGAGTTTGCTTACTCAATACCAAAATTATGTGGGTGATAAGTTTACAAACTCTATCACACCTCTCACTTTCACTCTCAATAAAATTGTACTAACAAATGGAGAAGGGATAGGAAATAACAAGCTTCCACGAAACAAGCTTTCTTGATATATGAAATAAAAGGCAGTTTACAAACTGATGAAAAAAGACAGAAGCTTACAAGCTTATGAACCTGAGAGAATACAATCAGAAAATGGGATTCGGATGGGGATTATACTAAAGCCTAGCAAGGAGGCTTATTTATACAAGCCAAACAGCAAAGACCACTCAAGTGCTTTAAATAAAAAAATACAACAACACATACAATCATTCAAACAGATTAGAACAATCTGGCACACACACATGCAGCGACAGATGGTGATTACCATCTTTACACCCTTTCACATATGCACCAGCTGCTAGACACTTTTACACATATGCTCTGCATCATTCCTTGCTGTCTTTCAACACCTTTCGGCTAGCACATGGAGGAGACTTTGTTCTTTGTAGCTGGAAAGAAACAAACAACTAGTAGCAATATTTTACAACCTGTTTTGATTTGAATTTCCAACACACCTCCTCAAATCAAAACGCCTTCATTCCTAGCATTTCACGCAGTAGCCGGAATGATTCAATTGGCAATGGCTTTGTGAAGATGTCTGCCACTTGTTCCTTGGTGTGACAGTAGACAAGTTCAATTGTCTTTTGCTTCACATGGTCCCTTAGAAAATGGAACCTGGTATCAATGTGCTTGCTCCTTCCATGTTGAACAGGATTCTTTGCAAGTTTGATTGCAGACACGTTATCTACATGAATCACAGTCGATTCCACTTGTGGATGACACACTGACTTCAACAGATTTCTTAACCAAATTGCCTCACACACGGTTGAGGCTACAACAACATACTCGGCTTCACATGATGACAAAGCAACAATTGATTGCTTCTTTGAAGTCCATGAGAAAGCTGTTGATCCTAGAAAAAACACATAGCCAGTTGTGCTTTTCCTTTCATCTTGGTCACCTCCCCAATCACTATCTGAATAACCAAATAATTTTGCATCTTCACCAAAATTATAAAATAGACCATAGTTTAGAGTACCTCTTATGTACCTCAAAATTCTCTTGGCGGCCAGCCAATGAGACTCCCTTGGTGTTTCCATGTATCGACTCACGAGTCCAACACCATAAACTATATCAGGTCTTGTGATTGTAAGGTACCTTAGGCTTCCAACGAGGCTTTTGTACACTGTTGAGTTTACAAACTCACCCTCTCCTCCTTTGGACAGCTTCAATCCAGTTGCGACTGGGGTATTGACAGTGTTGCACTTGTCCATATTGAACTTCTTCAATATGTCTCTCATGTACCTTTGTTGAGAGATGTAGATACCATCACTTTCTTGCTTCACTTCTATGCCAAGAAAGTATGACATTAATCCATTGTCAGTCATCTCGAATTCACTGAACATGGATTGCTTGAACTCACAGAACATTGCTTCATTGTTTCCTGTAAACAACAAGTCATCTACATAGAGACAAATAATTAAGAACTCCCCTTTTGCACCATTCTTCATGTAAACTGAATGCTCGTATGGACATTTCTGAAATCCATTTTGGTGAAGGTAGTTGTCAATCCTTGAGTTCCAAGCTCGTGGTGCTTGCTTGAGGCCATACAAAGCCTTCCTCAAACGATACACCTTATCTTCTTTTCCCTGTACTTGGAAGCCTTCTGGTTGTTCCACGTACACTTCTTCCTCAAGAACTCCATTAAGGAAGGCTGACTTGACATCTAGTTGATAAATTTTCCATTTATGATGAGCGGCAAGAGAGATTAGTAATCTTACCGTGTCAAGTCTTGCAACTGGAGCATAGACTTCATCATAGTCCACTCCATACTTCTGTTTGTAGCCCTTTGCTACAAGCCTTGATTTGTATCGATCCACACTCCCATCTGCAGTGCGTTTGATCTTGTAAACCCACTTGACACCAATAGCCTTCTGATTTGGTGGGAGCTTTGTCAACTCCCAAGTGTCATTCTTCTCGATGGCATGGATCTCTTCTTCCATGGCTTTCTTCCAACAATCTTCTTCCACAGCTTCATTGAATGAGAGAGGCTCGTGGTCTGCATAGAAGCAGAAAAAATTGGTTTCTTCTTCTTCTTGTCCATAAATCTCTGTGAGACTCCTTAACCTCACTGGAGTTGAGGAGCTGCTTTCCTCACTAGATGTAGGACCACTCCTTGCAATTCTGTGCACTGGAGTTGTTGTGATTGTTTGAGCAGGTTGTTGCTCAACAGGTGGTACAACTTCTGGTTCTTCAAAATCAGTGGA